GGGGTATGTTAAGATATAGGAAAGGGTGATTGGGAGGGACTCTTTTCCTTGATATAATAATACTCTTAGTTTTTTTGTGGATTAAAATCCACTAGCCAAAGTTTAGCCAAAATATTGATTTTTTCTAAGTCATTATTTAGTTGTTCAGCTGCCAAAAAAGGGCGTATCAACTATGATATAAATTGAGGTGTCGTCAGCGAAATTTTTAATTACAGAGGCAATATCAATAACAATATCATTTATATAAATTAAAAACAGAAGAGGCCCTAATATCGAACCTTGAGGAACACCAGCCTTGATATCTGCCAAGTATGATTCCACCCAGTTGATAATAACTTTTTGTTTTCTATTTGTTAAATAGTTTTTGAACCATTGAATCACTTTACCGCCTAATCCAATATTAATAAGTTTGCATATAAGGCCTTTGTGCCACACTCGGTCAAATGCCTTGCTTATATCACAAAACACAGCTCTTACTTCTTTTCCCGAATCAACTGTCCTTCCCAAATCATTTGTAATAGCCAATAATTGATTTACTGTGGAATCACCGGGGCAAAATCCAGACTGACATTTTGTAACTAAATTATGCTCAGGTAAAAAATTGTGAATATACTTGAACATACTCCTCTCCATTACCTTCCCATACTTAAAAGAGAAATAGGGCGATACTTTTTCACGTCGTTCTTTTCGTTCTTTTTATGTACAGGAATAACATTAGCTAAGAAGTCAGGAAATATGCCAGTTTGTATAGATAAGTTAAAAAGGGTGCATAAAGGCAAAGATAATTCATGTGCGCCCTCTTTTAATAGGCGTGGATTCATTAGAGCTGGACCAGTAGCTTTCGAGGTATCGAGAGATAATAACGCATCGCAAACATCATCAACTGTTATAATGATATTGTCTAATTTATGAACTGGAGTTTGGTTAGCGGGGAGATGAGAGCTTGAGTCGTCTACAGTAGACTGGGAAGAAAAATAATCATTAAACAGTTTGGTTTTTTCACCCGCTGTTTCGTATTGGGAACCAGCATGTACTAGAGTTGAAATTGAGTTTGATTTACCATGGTTGCCAATGAATAATTTTATAGTATTCCACCAAGACTTGTTATTTAGACTATTCGTGTCACGTAAGCTAGAGGTAAGTTTGTTGTGATATTTCTTTTTAGCAGTTCTACAAGCATTAGCACATCTGTTACGTAACCGTCTGAAATTAAGCCAGTCAATAGGGGAATTTGAAGATCGAGCAATTTTATGAGTTCTTTTTCGTTTACGAATCAGTCTACGAATTTTATTACCGCTCCATGGCGGATCGCAGGGTCTAATTGTTGCAGACTTAACAGGTATACATTCTCGAGCAACGGTCATGATTTTTTCAGTAAAGTTCTTGCAATTTTCATTAGGATCATCCGGTATCATAAGATCGTTCCAATGAACATCTGTAAGCTTTATGCGGTACGAATCATAGTCGCCATAATTGAACAACCATATGTTTCGTTTGATACAATTCACACGATGTTGTTTTAGACTAAGTAGGCCGTAAACAGGGCAATGATAGCGCGTATTCTGTTCTAAAAAATGTTCGCCTACATACGAACGAGAAACAATAGAATCATTGCTTACTAATACTATATCTAATAGACTAGAGTTTGTTTCAGTATAAAATGTGTATTCGTTGATGAGCTGTGACATACCATACAGCTGAATAATATTCATTAACCTTGTAAGATGAGGACACTGGCGGAGAACATTTGAGTTAAACTCTCCCGTTATAACTATATCATCAATACCAGTATTATATGCCAAGTCAATGGAATGTTCAATTTTGTTCCAATCATTTGTATCAGAGTTTGGAGGTCTGTAAAAAGTTCCGAATAGCAGTTTTTGTCCTCTATGTGAAATCTCGATCCAAACAAATTCTATGCCACCTACTTCAATGTCATGTCGTCTTTTAGCAAATATATCGTTCATTACATAAATTGCTACTCCTCCGCCTATTCTATCAGATCTACAACAACAGAAAGGCTTTTGAAAGCCCGGTAGTTCAATATCGCTATCGATTTGTGATTCATTTAACCAAGTTTCGGTAAATGCTAAAATACTAAAACTATATAATTCAGTGAAGAGAAGGTCGAGTTTAGGTCGTAGGCTCTGTACATTCAGCTGAACGAATGATACGTTAGCAAAGTTAAGCAACTCGTCAGAGAGTAGCGACGAGAAGCTAGAGGTGTCACTGATAGAACTGGACCGATCGGAGTTTGAGGGGCCTGGATTTGTTTCTATATCACCGCTAAGAAACAGTAGCCATGCCAACGAGAAGGATAGTATGAAGGTGACAATAGCCTTTTCTCTTACAAAACTAAATCTACTGGAAAGTATCAAATAGTGTGATAAGTTGAAATATTGCACACACTCTAAAAATTGCACACTGTTAGCGAGCCATTAAGGGACATAAAGATGGAATAACAAAATATGCCAACTATTATACCAAGAAGAAGAATAAGCAAATTTGGTGATTGTAAGTTAAAGTATTTTACGGATAGAGACATAAATCGACCTATTCTTGCACGGTAAAGTTCTGTACATATAGGCATTATGTAATGCAGGGACAGAAATAATAAGTATAACAATCCCCAAACTGCCAACCCCCGGTCGAAGGGAGTCATCCGACAAGAATTATTCAGTCAGACACCGTCTATACATACAGGTAGACATTTTACATAAGTTAAATTGAGTTATTAGGAATTTAACATAGAAAGAGGAATTGGGTGGCTATTGATAGATTCAAAAGTAGCTTATGTGCGTAACAAAATCTTTGTCGTTGACGTTACATCGGTAGTGCAATGTAAAAGATTATTAAAGCGACACAAAACATGTGACATAAGGAGAGCAATCAATGGTTGGTGCTCTCGAAATAGCAAGCCAAACGTACCAATATCAGAGGATGATATCTCTAATAAATGGAAGTAATGCTCAGAATTTTGTATAATATTATTAGAGAGAACGTTTTGACAATAAGGGAGATAACTCGTACACACATCGCTAGATCAGGAGCCGGCATATCATTGTTGTTCCTTCTTGTCATTCCATGTATAATAGCTAAATAACGGACTACACAGTGTTCAATACGGAAGGAATGCTAACTGGTATTGTGCATTATTTGAAACCTTAACTACACATTCTGCCAATAGTCTAAGTTCACAAAATCTTGAGCTAAACTTACACTGTACAAACATCAAGTAAGAACATCGGTGATGTCTAGTTTTATAATACTACAATTGAAATTCCTGATGCTAAATGAAATAATAAAAATTTTGCAGAAGAAGATGGTATCATATAGTAAAGTTTATTTACCCGTATGGAAATTGTACAAAACATGTGCACAACTGAGGACGTGTAATCTTAATATTTAAGGAAGGGGAAAAAAGAGTATAAATTATGACAATAAGGGAGATAATTCTTATATAAATCGCCAGAACTACGTAAGCAGACTTTTTAGTTACTTATGTATATCTGTCGTTCTGCCTCAATATAATTATAACAAGACCGTTTAATAACGTTATAACCACATTTATGTTAAGAGTAGTATGTATGTTTTCCTATAAACACATTTATTCGAGGTGAATAATGGAGCTGCTCTGTTAATCATTAACACTTTTCTGTCAGTGTAAATATGTATATAAATATTTAATGCAGCGATTTTCCGGTTCCGGCACCCTAGCCACCATTACTAGTAAACGCTAACTTCACACCTATTACGCTCGTCTTCCAGAATGTCACTATATCACCAATCCAACACCATCTTCGGAATCACACAATAACATACAGGTAGCTCAGACCGAGTATCGTATTACACTAGACGGTGGTTAGAGTCACGGAACCGGAAACTGGTGTTCGGTAAAGTTACAGAAATAGGTAACAAATTATTACAAATAAGTGTCAGCACATATAGCACTCCGTCCGCAAAAGCTTTTCTCTCACCTCTAGTAGTCTACATACTATTTACTGGGTTTTTTAGGCATCGTACTATTCGATAACATTAGTCGATAATAAGAGTTCGGCTAGACGGAGTACAATATGCACAACATACATATATATAAGGTGTTATTCAAAAATTGTATAACGATACAATGTAGTTCAAAAATTGTTTCGTTCAACATGCTTGGATATATATTTTGGGTTTAGAACATATCAGGAGATATACACAACTACTTTTGAATAACGTGACCAAATTGGCACAAGTCCTCTTCTCTATAGATAATATAGTCTCGATCGCGGACGTCCCTCACGCGGATTTTCCCATTTGTAGTGCAAGTTTTTTTAATAAGTTTTTGCCTTGTGAGCTGACGTGCATGGCAGAAGAGTGTGTCTCGTAACTTGGTCAAATCTTCGTCGACAGATATCATGCCGTCAATTCCTCTAAGTTTGGAGCTGTTCACAAGTAGGGTGTGTTTGGCGTCGCTAGTTTTTATGCGGACAATTATTTGACGAGGTTTTACGGGGCCATTCCGACTTGGCTGCTTTAATCTTCCAACACGGTGGGATCTCTTGATGTCATCGCGGGTGATTGGGATGCCGGCTTTCTCACATGTATCGAGTATGAGAGTCGTTGAATCCTCATGTTGCTGACCAGGCTCATTACCAGTGAGGGAAACTTCTGGGATCCCAGAGAACCGGACGAGGGGGGCCGATCGTACCGTTCAACTTCATCTATTGTCATTCGGAGCTCTACGTTCTTCTTCTCCATAATTTCTAATTTAAGTTGAATGGGTGCCACCTCCTCCTTAATCATATGGCGAAGTTGAGCCTCAGTTTTTACAAATATACGATCGGCTATCTTTTCGATCTGCTCGTCGGACAATGTCACAGATATCATAAAGAATTTTATGATAATAGTGCTATTTATGAACATTGATTTAACATTTCATCCCATTCATTATTTTGGATTTCCTCTTACAAACTTTCGCCATTTAATTTCGTTCAGTAACAATTTCACACCTAAAAGCTATTTAATTACATTTGTACCATTTAAGAAAACCTCTATGTGTAAATGTAGCTTCTTTGATTCATTGTCGTCAGATTAACTCATGTAATATTGGTGTCCATCTTATACATTATACCTTTCAAGTCAATTATGTTACGTAATGAGATTAACTGGTCTTACCAAATATAACACTTAACTCTCTGACAAAGGACAGGCTAATTTCCTTACCTGTTCGGGTACTCACCAGTCAGAATAGAGAGATAAGTGACAGCTGTCGATCAAACTAACTTTATTGTGTTAATTTTCAATGTATCACGGTTCTACATGTTTGGTAAGCAGTTAGGAGCTAGGCATCGGACTGGACGGGTGTGTTTTTGGATACTCCAGAAATCATCCACCGACCTAGAGAATGGTAATTTAATAAATTTATATTTGGACCATACAACATCTCCAGAACTTTTACTTTTCAAATTGTATAACAATACCCCACAAAAGTGTTGTTATACAGATATGGGTCTATTAACGATAGTCTGTGGGATATCATGGGGCTGACCAGAGTTGTAAACAAAGTGGGATCCATTCCAACTTGCGACACAGGTACACTTTGTATTTCCTCACCTAAATATACAGTGCTCAGTTCGGGAGGTTCTGGTGACTCAAGAACGTAGTTGTATATGGAGGATTTTTTACAAGCGGGCAAATCTGATGATGATGAAGAGGAACTCCTATCGCTTTTTCATCTTTTATAATTATCAGTATATTTACCGGACATAGCATCCAAGGTGCATGTGTAACCACGACATACGTACAGGTTCAGATACAGTCACAGCGATAGGCGTGCAGCGTGAGTTCAGTATGGTTCAAAATAGTTCATTCAACCGTGAAGTAGTGAGCACATATAACATACATATACAGCTATTCAAACTAGCTTCAAATGTAATTTTACCTTCCAAAACATGGCCAGCTGTATATCTTAGGTCTTTAGGTTTCACGGTAAATCTCCAGCACTAACTTAGTCAAATAAACATATTTGTTGGAGCACTGTAAACACTTGTTGTCACTGCAGGTAATAAGATTCTTGCATGCTGTCATTGGCCAAGGCATGTCTCTGACATTATCATATATCGCTGCAATAGACTTACCATGTAGCGATGGTATGGAACTCAACCACCACAATAAGGGACACATCTAGCTCCTGTTCTCGCCAATGTCTGTCACCAACCAAAGTCTCCGGTGAAGCAAATATGAGATCAATGCTACCGTCTCTGATTGCTTCATTGGTCCTACTTCCTGAAAGGGGTAAAGCATATAAAATAAAACAAAATTTATGCTGTTGTCGTTGATATTTTATAAGTTATTGATGCTTTTGGCAGATAATATGGGCTCATTTTACCTGTCTGTATTTCATATTTCCCGAGCTGAAGGAGAGGGTATTACAATTATATAACCGACCAATGAAATTTTTTCAAGTTCTTGCTTGACAATACATTACCTACATATCTAAAAGTCGAATTACATCTTATATTCAATGTCGTTTGTTATCAACCTAATGATAAAATATTCTTTTAAAGCGACTTTGTTTCGCCTATTATACGCCAGTTGGAGTATGGATTTGTTTCTAAAAATAACCCAAATCGCTTTAACAGTAACGTTTGCAAGATATTAATAAAAATCGCATTAATTTAGGACAAGGTGAATAATATTTTGCTAAAATATGTTTACTGAAAGCATTGGCTACTTACAAACTTTATGTAACTTTACCGGAAGTATTGCATCTATTTTTGGTACTTTCCCGCCACATGCAAATGAAGTTTATTTTTGCATTTGTATCATGTTTCATGACTGAAACTTGGGCAAACAATTTGAAAAAGTTAAGATTAAAGTGATTTTGGCTAAAAAAACAAAACAAATCCATACCCCTATTGACGTATAATAGGCGAGTTTGCGTATTATACGCAAGTTAGTGTTTTTCCCAGATCTGATTGAACGTGGCCTATCGATTCCATTTATCCATTTATTTTGCAATCGGACAGCCCCTCAACCTCGAACTTTTAAATCTACACATACTGTATCAATAAATATACCTGCATATGCTGCGGAAATGCAATCCAAATCCGAAAGACGTTTCACTTGATCGTCCATAAGTGACACTAACGGACAACACACCAACACTTTACCTGGCGAAGCACCAATCCTTCTCATCACAGGGAGATACATCTGATACGGGAGTGATTTGCCATAACCCGTAGGCAGGACAGCTACACAATCCTTTCCTCGTATCAAACAATCCAAAATTTGTCGTTGTTCAGTCTTCAAAGTTTCAATTTTAAACATCGACAATGCAGATTGAATCGCATCGCTTTCTTGTTTAATGTTAGTCGCCATTTTTGATAACCAACCGAAGCGTTGTTTGTATAACGTGTTTTGATTGGCTAGCGGGAATGACCTGTTTGATACCGTTACGAGGTCACTCGGGGTCACTCGCACATGAGGCCTAATCGGTCGCTGTCAGATGTTAATAGCCGGCGTGATATTTTTTTTATGAGATTTTAATGAGATTGGGTCACAGGAGTCATTTGTCTAAAAAAAACCACTTTAATTTCTTTCTTTCTGAATAACCAAAAGGACGAGGATGATGATATTTTGGCAGAACCATACTTGGATGAAGGGCTATCAATTTGTTCAAATGAATGACCTTCACTCATATTCAAGGTCACAGGAGTCGTTTGTCTAAAAAGATATATTTAAACAACTTCTTCTTTATAACGAAAGGACGAGGATGATGATATTTGGGCAGAATCATACTTGGATGAATGACCTTCGCCCATATTCAAGGTTCCAGGGGTCAAATATGTTAAAAACTTTAAATAACCACTTATATTTAAATAAAGAGGAATAATAATTACCGAGTCATGACATGAGAAAAAAAAATGTGATTAATTAAATAAATAACAATAGAAAATAAATAGTAGAATGAATTAATGTACATGGATTTCATTTGACGTTCATTTGTAAGTGAATATATGACAGGTAATCAGAAGTTAAGATAACAATGATAAGAGTAAACATTCTCTCTAAACTATAGTAGGTCATAAATAATAAAAACACAATAAATGAATACAAAGTAAACCACAGTAGCGATCTTATTTGAAATATCATTGAAAATAAATATATACAATTAGTATTTTACTACAGCATATACTGCCATGCCTTGTTTTGTAAGTGTAGTACAGTAACTGATATATATTATAGTATGCACGTGGTTTCGTGCACGTGGATATAAAGTCATCAATGTCACAGAGATCTAAGACAAATCCACTGGATATACACTACAAGAAGAAATTATTAATAAGTTTGAGTCACTCCTGATCAGATGATTTTCCGGATTTAATGGACGCAGATACTGGGGTGCCTTCGTTGCCACGGACGACAGACATTTGGAGTTTGGTGACTACATTTGGTGTACTTGTCATCGGACCACGTGTGGGCCTAGGTCTGGAAAAGGCTGCATCCGCGTAAGATCTGGAAATCGAGAGAGAATCACTATTGAATGCGGAATTCATCTGGGCAGAGGTAGTAAACTTATGTTTACGGTTACTGAGATCGGTGACAGTGATGGACCCATCATTGGTCCCAGCCTTGAGGGCCAGACCTTTCTTGACCAGCGCTCTGGCATCTTGGAATAATAATGCAGGTTGTCGAGTGAGTGCCTCGTTAATGAGGATGCGACGATCTACAGGGACACCATCGCGTTGGGACCTCAGTGCAAAACACGCCCTATATACTGACTCCCTGATCCTGTACGAATTGAACCTGACTATGATGTCGTTTGGCTTGGAGATGTCGGATTTCTGGTTGGACGTGGATCGCTGATTGAACCTCATAACTCTATTGTGATCTAGAGATGTCATCACGAGTAATGTGTAAGCCCAGCTTAAAATTGAAGATGTCGACCAGCAGCTGATCAGTATCTTCCTGCTGTCCTGTGGTGCCACCGGGAATGCCAGAAACTTAGAGACAATTCCTCCTACTGTATTGTTCAAGATCCTCTTCTCTTTGAGTGAGGACATCAACTTGATTAAGAAGTGGCTGTACAGAGGAGGAAATTACTGATGGTAGATCGAGGGATTCCTGAATGGATTGCACAAATAATTCAAGGGATAGCAACTTAGACACTAGTTTGGCCATTATATCACTGTCATCAATGGCGGCGACCGAGTCAAATATGTCATTAACATGTTCGTCTTCTGTGCGTGGAAGTTTGGATTGATGGGTGGAGGATGAGGACTGAGCAGTCAAGTCACAGTTTTACTTTTATTGCTGTCATTTCCACCCTTGGCTTTAAAGTCCGACTTCGACATGACTACTAAGGATATATTTAAAATGGAGGCACAAACTGACAAAGGAATGTCACAGTGGGTCCGATGTAATTTCTGGTAAGTGATGATATGAAGATGAGTTGGACCACAGACATCACATAATATATAGTTCAGTTCATTGTCCAAAATGCCCAGGGTGATGATATCTGCGTTCTTTAGGATCGTAAGAAGATTAAAACATAAAAGATATGGTGAATATACAGTTGAACCTCGTTATCTCTAACTCTTTTATCTCGAAGACCCCGTTTATCTCGTATTTCTCCGGTCGTAAATAAAACTCTGATACAGACCCTGGATCGTTTTTCTTGTCCATTTAAACGCAAACGCAACGCAAACGGAACGCAAACGCAACGGAAACTCAACGCAAACGTAACGAAAACGCAACGGAAACGCAACGGAAACGCAACCAAACCGTTTGGTTACACACGCTCCTAAAACGCAGTTCATAGCAGACAAATAGCGGACATAGATTTAGATGTCCTTCCTCGCGGAAGCGTGTCGGTCTCTGACCCTAACTCTGACCTGTATTTACCTATACAGCGCTCGCGTGTTATTTGCACAGCGGCGGATGCAGATGTACTTATAGGCAACATTTCCCCCGTCAGCACCAAAATAAAAAAAAATTGGAAAGTACTGACTTTGATTTGCATATATGTGACTCTTTGGCAGTACTTACACATTTTATTTATTTATATTTTTCTTGAAATTGATCCTTATACCAGAGACGTAATATAAACGTCTCTGCTTATACATTTACCCGTTATCTAGACTGAGGACATTGCAGTTAAATGGAAAATTGGAAGACACATAATCTACACCAATCTACATACTGATTATCATATTTCTAACTGCTTTATCGCATGAATATGTTTATATGATTCCATGATCAAATAAGCATATTTTAGCAAAGATATGGTTTATTCATAAGTTTATATTTTAGTTGAAGTATGTGATAATTTAGATTAGATTTTTATAATGTACATAAATATGTTTAACATGTGTGTATTCTAATGTTGATTTAGGCAGTAATGGATGCAATATGCAATGAGTTGAGACATAAATAAATAAATATAAATATACTAACTTCAGGTGCCTCTAGCCCACCTGCTAACATCCCTTTGATGTCATACCTGGACACAGGTATATTGGTGCGTCTTGGGCCTCCGGCTGTCAGCACTGGACACGGGTGTGTTTAGTGTAATTTACCTGTACACAAATGTCACACCTAAGTAGGCTAAGGGAGTGGATCGAGACAATTTGCATTAATGAACCAAGATATTAAATTATATTACATGTATATGAAGAGAAAAAGTTTGAATCTCATAATTCAATTATATTTTTCAGATAAATATAATCACGGAATTAGATTGATATAATTTAACATCGCATTCAGAAGTACCGTATTGTATAAAAATAAATGTGTGTCGGTATTTTGCTGTTTATTTGAAGTGTCGACCGAACCAGAGACGTATATACTGCGGTCTTTATATGTCTCTTACCTAACATAAGGAAGACACAATATCGTCAATTTGTCATTAAACGGTAATACTGAAAATATGCTCAACATTTTATTGACATTCAAAAACAGCATATACCAACGTTGAAGTTATTTTGTAAACATTTTTCAATGATACATTTCCGGTTATTTTTGGACCGTAGCGATGCCAAAGTATGTGACTGTAGATCTATAGCAGATAATATAAAGTGTATACGTCTGTGTAGAGTAAAGAAAATAATTGCAAACTGACTTTCCAGCTAAAATTCATTGAGAGTATTTGCGTTTATTCGACAATTTCTCATAAGTGCTCAGAGTCAGGCCACGCAATGGCTCCAGGGTGTGTTAATAATAATACACAGCATTTGATATAGCGCTCTATCTAGCTAACATAAAAGCCACTCTAAAGCACTTTACAGTACACAGATATACAATTAATACAAATAGCATTTACATTACACAATTCAATTTTGAGGAATTCTTGAGGAATTCACAGGAGCTGCCTTATCAGACGCTAACTACTAGTCCTGTGCAACGTGGCTAATATCTCTCTATGTGTGTATGTCTGCGTGTGTGCTGGAGATGTGATGTGTTCTGAAGTTTGTTGATTTAGGCAGTAATGGATGTAATATGCAATGAGCAATCAACCGTGCTTCCAACGGCATCATTTAAAGTGACACCTCACTCCACCTGGGTTGTTGGAGTTGTGGGGGCAGGAGAAAAACACTTTCTCTGATATTCCATGCGTGCGACGACTTCGAGGATCGAACCCCGGCCGCCTGCGTGGAAGGCCGAAGTGTTAACCACTCGACCAATCCGCCCTATTCAGAGTCGTAAGTTTGATATCACTTAAACTCACTGTCTGGAAATTCGGGCAAATTTTAAAGGGCTGAATACCATCTTCAAAATGTTATCTTCAGCACAATCTGATTCCTCAAAACTAAAAATGGTGACTGCTAGAGGCGTTGAACTTGTGACGTCACAGCCGATTGGGTCCCATTCACCAGGAGTTACGATTACGACCGGTCTTTATGCGGTTTTCGACATTTTTGTTTTTGGATAATATAGAATAATAATATACTATTTTCTATTTTCATTCAGTGTACACTTTAAGACTCTCGGGTCCATGTGGACGCAGATACGTCCTTTGTCGACGTATCTAGATTAAATTTCTCCAACAAAATCTGAGAATTTAGGAAGTATAAATTAGATGTATCTCAACCAACACATGGATCTCAACCAACACATGGGGAGAATGATTACTCCGACATATCAGGATAAGTCCAAACAAACATTATTGTAACTAATTAAATAGCTTATACTACTTTTTATACATCTCTGATTGAATTTTACGTATCGTTTTAATTAAATTAAAATATTGAACAGGGAAAGTATAAAGACGACCACCGTGCACGAGGGTGCGTAACTTCGGGTATATAATAATGAAGAACGAAGATGAGTAACACTTAATGCCCTTTTCATTATGCGTTGGAAACGTATGGTAGTGAGGCATAGATAACAAAGGACTTCAAGGGATTAGGGGGTTGGATTAATGTTTATTATTTGAAATAACGCTATAATTATGTCTGAATGTACTTTATGTATTTTATATAAATTTCATTCAAATGAGATTTAGATCACTAGTACCGTAAAAAAATAAAAAGTGTGTAGGGGAGGGGTTGGGCGGTACCGATGTCATCAACACCGACTTCAGTATCTGACGAATGACGGCATCATTTCTTTTAAAATAATGTTCTAACATACATAACAGAATTATTTTTCAGAAATTCCTTTCTTAAATCTGCAACAAAGAGGTATTTTGATAAGAAATAAAATATATCATTTATATCTTATAATTGGCACAAACATGTCCAGTATAAAAAACCGTTTTTTTGTATGGTGACTATATGTAACTTCTTTCAAATATAAGATAGGCAACTGATTCGTGTGTCAAGAGGTCGAATGAGTTTAGTATTCATTCCGAATTCAAAAGAACAAATCAAACTTTACACTGTATCTATTTAAAATTTTCATATTTTTCAACTTCTTTAATACACATTTTATTCTACTTAAAAATCATAAATTTATGTTTCTAGTTGTAACTATTTTATGATAATTTCAGCAAAATCACATTGCTAATTTACCTGGATATGTAAACCAGAACAGACCGGTGTTTTAGTTACGATGACCATGATCGCTATCAGGGGTGGCCTTAGCTCAGCGGGGGTGCACTACCTCTCACCGGTACTTCACGTTTAGCCCCCTAGGCCTGGGCATCCCCATTTCAGTAAAGCCAGAGCACACGCATGTACGTACTGGTTGGTTGTCTACTAAAAGGCCACAAGGCCGTACGTATAATACCGGACGTAAAACCATCAAAATCATGCGGTTTTCGACATTCGACAATATATCATTTATATCTTATAATTGGCACAAACATGTGGAGTATAAAAAAACCGTCCTTTTGTATGGTGACTATATGTAACTTCTTTCAAATATAAGATAGGCAACTGATTCGTGTGTCAAGAGGTTGAATGAGTTTAGTATTCATTCCGAATTCAAAAGAACAAATCAAACAATGTGGAAATGATGTATGTTCGTATACAATATTCCCCATTATGAAATTTTCTTGTAAGATACAATAATTCGTATTTTATTGTGTATCATATGGTAAACTAGTAATCGTGCAAAATAATCAGGAACCGCTTGAATACTATAAAAATTAGCACCGCAATACCTGAGGCACGTGTCAACGGCGTGGCTGTTGGTTTGTGTACTGGACACGTCGATTAATACCGATAAAAACCAGTGTGTACCCTTAATGAAACACAATATAAGCAGATATACACTGTTTCAATATAAGTACAAGCTATATAGGTAGATTATATGTAATGAATTGTTTCCAATCCTTTCCGGGACTTATCACATACCTGGTAATCAGGGGCGGAATCACCATTCCAGATTTCCAATTTTGTGGACACATTTGGACTGAATCACGTCAAGTTACGTCAAGTTAAACAACAACAAAAGGATCTGCTAATATTCCTCAGGTTCATATTTTTCTCTAGTTATCGATGTCGAATTCGTGGTCTAACCATAATCACGTTCTTTATTAGTCTTTTCAATATTTCAAATACTTATTTGAATATTCATCACTATTTTATCAAATATTAATAATAAATAACAATGTGTCCTCTTAATTCAGCTTAAAGAAATACCGAATACACAACTACTGTAGTAAACTTGCTAGGTCTCAATGATTTTCAATGGCGTAATCAAAATCTATGTATTGTCAATGTTGGCAGGGGCCTTGTACCTCTCGAACCTCGCAGGAAGCACCCCGAAACATATTGCGAGTCGAGCGCAGGACTTACATACTTATTACATTTACATTGTATACGTCGTAGTTACCAATAATGGCATGACACGACGGAAGAGCGAGAATATGCTACTTATCTTGGGTGTTTTTTGAAAGGGCTGATCTAAATCCCTATACGCTTTCTGCGCACACTACTGTATCATCCAGTTGGTTCCACTCAAGCGATGTTTTGATGAAGAAGGAGTTCTTGTATGCTTCCTATTGTATCCTGGGATGGTTAATGGCCTTGAGTTGTTAACAACGTTCCTGTTTAAGGTTGCTGATGTTTCATAGTTCTCATAACGCTTTGTGTTTGTTTTTCGCGTCCTTCCAGAGTGCTGGATTATCTGATCTGGGGGTAGGGCTGGTATTAACTCCTCAACTACTTTGTACATGAATACTAGCCGCTGTGATTTCCTTCTGTTTTGTAAGGTTGGTAGTTTTAGGTGTTGTAGCATTTCTGTGACACATCCTTCATCTCGACTTTTGTAATTTCCAGTAATTAGGCGAGCTGCTCTTCTTTGTATTCTCTCTAGTTTTTCAATGTCTGATTTTAGACGAGGGTCCCAAATAATACTGCCATAGTCCAGAATTGATCTAACAAGTGATATATACGCTGTTTTCCTACACTCTTTTGGGCAGTGTTTTAAGTTACTTCTCAAAAAGCCTAAAGTTGAGCTCGCTTTCCTCGCGATGTTGCTTATATGAGTACTCCATTTGGTTTAAACTTTGTTTAATTCAAATTTTGTTTGACAATACATCGAAGTACATGTTTTATAAAACAGAAAAGGAAACAAAAACAAGTGTCGTGTAAATTTGTTACCTGCTTAGTAATCAACTTTTCAACACTAGCTACAAGAATGAAGTAATATGTACAATAGAATAATTACGGGAATAGGGGAGGGGGTAATGGATTGGTATGCAGTGGAAACCAGGTTGAATAACATATCAATATACATATGATCATCAGATGGTAATATCATATTGCTCTATTGCAATGAGTATGTGGAACACGATTCTGTAAAATATAACTATGCAATAGTAGATGAAAATGTCAGCAGTCCTGTAAATGGACACTCAAAAAAGGTTAAAATGTATATACAAATTACATAGAATAAATCACCACTGAATCAACTATTGACAAAATTAGTATGTCACAAAACACCGCCATGATTATTAAAAACGTTGCAGTTCACATCCAAGCCATCATACTTATCAAATATAAGTCCATAAAACACTTTCCCGCCTCGTCCCTGGTACGTCCTCTCTTTCAAGGTAACACATCACTTTATCAAACTATTATAATCATGGCCAGTTAGTGACATAATATGGTATAAAGAAATGCAATGGCAAAATCACTGAATAAGCATATAAATCCAAATACATTTTAAAACATAGTAGTAAAACGAATGCAACACAACATACATACATATATATATATATATGTCAAAATGAAATTGTTAAGGACTATTCGTTTATTTGAAATCTTTTAGTTTTGAGTATATAATTTTGGACGGCTAGAACAATTATAGTGTTTTCTTGATGGGTTAGAGAGTCATCACCAAAGATTAGAATATTAGTTGATAGTTGATACGGCAAACTCAGAATATGAAGCTGTCTAAGTTCTGTATATTTATTACATTTTAGCAAATAATGTGTTGAGTTCTCAATGGCACCGCAGAAACAATTCGGAGATGGTATGATGTTTTTCGTAAACAAGTGTTCTTTTAGGGAGCTACATGACATACGCAGTCTTGCGTGGTAGATTTGACCCAGACGTCAACCCTGAAAGTAGTATGAAGGTGGACATGATTTACTATTAGATTTCAGAAAGGCTTTTAAATGGGAAGTGGAAGGGTTATTTCTAGTATGAAATGGAAGAGAATTCCAATTGTTTACAGCAGAAGGAAGAAATGCATTAAGATAAATATTTGTTTTACAAAGAATAGGTGACAGACATGATGGGTCAGCAAGTCTGGTATTATAACTATGAACATCACTAACTGAATTAGGTAAGAGATTATACAGATACTCTGAAGTATTTTGATAAACATTTTATGGAATTGTAGCAATTTATGATTAAGTCTACGGTCTATTAATTTATTCCATCCAACTTCTGTATATAGTGTGTCTAAGCTTACAAGTTTAGTAGCACCCGAAACAATCCTAGCAGCTTCCAAATTAACATTCTCTAGTTTAGAAATATATTCTTTGGGAATACTATCCCAGACAGTATCAGCATATTCTACAAGTGGTCCAATAAACGAAAAAAATATATTTTGTAATGTTTGCCTGTCGAGTTTAAATTTTAGAAATCGCATAATATTTAATCGAGACGTTGCTTTCTGAATTATTTGTTTAACATGTTCAACCCAACTGCAATTATTCAAAAAAAGAACTCCAAGATGTTTATGCAACAGTACTTTTGATATTTCTTCATTGCACATATGTAAGATTGGATGTGGTTGACTGTTTCTTTTTCTACTAAGGGTCATGCTTTCCGTCTTTTTAGGATTGAAATCAACTAACCAAGATTTGGACCATTCAGTATTTTTTTGTAGATCTGACTCCATAATGTTGTTTGTTTCTAAGGGGTTTTCAACTATCATGTACAAATTAGTATCATCAGCAAATAATTTGATAGAAGATTTGATATCGTTGACTATGTCATTAATATAGATTAAAAACAACAAAGGTCCAAGTATTGAACCCTGTGGAACTCCAGCCTTAACTCCTGCCAAATCAGAGTGAATATTATTGATTATAAGTCTTTGGTTTCTATTCGTTAAGTAGCTTTCGAACCTTACAACAGCCCTTTGTGCCAAACCCTATCAAATGCTTTGCTGATGTCACAAAATACTACTCTTATTTCTTTACCTGAATCTAATGCCTTAATCAAATCGTTGGAAATACTTAATAATTGGTTAATAGAGGAATCGCCTGGTGTAAAACCTGATTGATATTTTGTTATTACTTTCAAATCAAGAAGAAAATTATGAACACGTTTATAAACGCACCTCTCGATCACTTTACCAATTATACTAAAAAGTGAAATTGGTCGATAGTTTTTAACATCATTACGGCTATCTGTTTATATATAGCTTTTGCTTCCTTCCACGATGATGGAAATATTCCTTGTGATAAGGATTAATTAAAAAATATAGATAGTGGCTTAGCAAGTGATGTTGCAGCTTCCTTGAGCACTTCGGGACTAATAAGATCTGGTCCTACAGCTTTACCAGTTTTCAAATTGAGTAAGGCATCCTTAACATCAGTACATGATATATTTATATCACTCAGACAAATACGATTAGAGAATTCTATTAATGGAGGAAGCATAACCATTGAATCATCCACAACGGATTGACTTGAAAAATATAAATTAAAAACATTAGCTTTATCAACATCAGTTTCGTAATAGACATTATCATGAACAATCGTCGGTATTTCTCCACATTTACCACTATTGTTCATGAAGAGTTTTACAGTTAACCACCATGACTTGTTGCATTGTCTTAAATCAGATAATTTTGATGACAAACCATTAAAATAAGATTCTTTAGATTGTCTAATGGCATTTACACACTTGTTACGGGTTTGTCTGAAAATAGACCAGTCAGATTGGCTATCAGTAAGTTTAGCCTTATTGTGAATTTTTTTACGTTTTGATATTAATTTTCTGATTTTTTGTTCATCCATTGATGATCGTGTTTTCTCATAATGACCGTTTTGTTAGGGATAGCCGAATAAGAAGCGGAATCGATGAAGTCAGTTAGACGCTTGCATGCTAGATCGATATCAGCATTATACACTTGAGGCCAATCCGACATTTCTAATAGTTCTCTTAGTTTGTCAAAATTTCCATGCTTATAAAACCAAATTTTCCTTCGGTACGAGTCGGTTGGATGTTGTGCAATATTAAGAGTTGCATAGATGGGATAATGGTATCTTACTGGTTGGTTAAGGAACGATTCCCCTACAAAAGACCGATCTATAATAAAATCGTTATTTACCAATATAACGTCTATTAAGGATGTCGAATGTTCAGTATATTGCGTACATTCAGTAATAAACTGCGTAAATCCGTAAGTGTACATTATGTTATCAAAATAGTTAAAATTATGACTGCATTGCAATAAATTGACGTTAAAATTACCAGTTATAATAACATTTGCAACACTAGAGTTAATTGCCCTACCAATGGATTCCTCAAATTTGGTCCATACAGTTATGTTAGAATTTGGGGGTCTATAGAAAGTACCAAATAGAAATGTTTGACCTTTGGATGCCATTTCAACCCAAACACATTCGATATCGTCAACTTCAATATCGGACCTTCTTTTGACAAAAAGATTGGCTGCTACATAAAGAGCAACACCCCCTCCAACGGCGTCATTACGAAAGTAACAAAAAGGACTGTGAAAACCAGAAATATCCAAGGACGAATCAATATCTGAGTCAGAAAGCCAAGTTTCGGTAAATGCTAAAATACTATGCTCATAAAGTTCGGTGTATAGAACATCTAGTTTTGGACGCAAGCTTTGTACGTTCAGGTGGACGAATGATAAGCAATTAATATTATGTGTAAAAGATACAGGTTCGTCAGAGGAGATTGACGAGGATTTAGCAGAAGGATGAAAGGGGCCGGGGTTAGTTTCTATATGTATGGTATGGTGTATACATGTGTAGCGAGTGGATGGTATGGTGTGTACATATGTATTATATGGTGTATTGGCTATACAGTTTGTGAATGGTATGGTGTTTACATGGGTATTATATGGTGTATTAGATATACAGTCTGTGTATGGTATGGTGGGTACATGTCTAGCGAGTGTATGGTATGGGGTTTACATGTGTATTGTATGGTGTATGAGCTAAACACAGACTGTATAGCTCATACCCCATATAATCCCCATGTACACACCACACCATACACTCGCTACACATCTACACCCCATACCATACACAACCTGTATAGCTCATACCCCATATAATACACATGGACACACCATACCATACACAGACTGTATGAGCTATACAGTTTGTGTATGGTATGGTGTTTACATGTGTATTATATGGTGTATGAGCTATACAGTCTGTGTATGGTATGGTGTGTACATGTGTATTATATGGTGTATGGGCTATACAGTTTGTGTATGGTATGGTTTAAGCATATATGTTTGATGCATACGTATACCCTATGAAGATTATATGTTGCATGACTTCGAGGGCCATTGTCCTGTGCTTTTTGTAATTTTGTTGAAAAAACCTGAATGAATAAATCAAATATATATATATATAAACCCGTCAACTTCTCAAAAGAGATAATGATGGCATCAAGAGCATGGCAAACCTCGGAGCAGATTCTGAAACCTGAAAATAGTATTGGAATCTACCACGTTTTGTCTGACGTAGCAATCACTTTTTTTTTAATTAGTCTATTAATGCTGCGAAATTACATTTTGAATATTATTTTTGGTGGATAACTTATACATGGTGTTATTTATTTAAATATTAAGTTGTCAAATTAGCTTGTACAGGTAAAAAAGTCAGAAGCTTTGTTTAAGGAACTGGTAACTAAACGTTTGACTGCTTTTACTTGACAACCCCAAATTGAATGAATTCTCAAGGATGTTAAGGAAGTGAAACTCACTTTCATATAACACATGGTTTGCTATGGTAGTTTTGTGAATATAATGCATCAATTTCATTGTAGATCAATTCTTTTCTTATGAAAGAAAAGAAGACTTTCCAGAGATAAAACCTGGAGTTTAATGTGTTTCTTTTCAATGTCAGGAAAAGAAGATGATGTGCTTCGGTAATGGTGAACGTCGACTATGGAAACGAGTAATGTGTGTTTTCCCCCCGCTTGTAACCATGTGCATATTCGTAAACGTATACATATACAGACTTGAGCTAAAGACTAATAATATTCAGATGAAAACAGTGAAATACAAGGTGGCCGTGCTCGTTCCTTTCCGAGACTGTCATGAGGAATTGCAACAATTTGCACCACACATTTTTAAATATCTGAATGACAGAGCCATTCCACATAGAATTTATGTGATAAACCAATTGGACAACTTCAGGTAAATCAGTTTACATTCATACATACAATCATACATCCATTCATACATACAAATATACATACAAATATACATTGTACGTACATACATCCATACATGAATTCAGCAAACTCCTCTTTTTTTACAAATAAACTTTATTATATATAGTTCAGGAATTAAAAATATATACCATCTTTGCACTTCTAGCAACACAAAGTAGATGTTTAATGTGAAATGATCCGGAATTCCAACATTTGAAGTTGTGATCTGCAAAATTACTCTTTATTTTTATTGAACTTTGGGCAATAATGACCAAAGTATAATTATGTAACAAAACCATGGCCAATTTTAGCTGACCTGGCCATTTTAAAACAGGCCTACAGTCATGATATTTTACTGATAGCTTCCATGGATGGAGCCAAACAAAGTTTGCGAATAAAAATGACATTGACCTACTTTCATGGTCACATAGGTTAAATATGTTTAAAATTGCAAATGACTTCTTCTGATAAACTAAAAGGCTTAGAGTCATGATATAAGCCTAGTGGATTGCTTGGATGGAGCCCACCAAAGTTTGAGAACAAAAGACCGTGAACTACTTTCCAGGTCCCAGATGTTAAATATGTCTTAAACTTAAAATGACTTCTTCTGAAGAACCGAAAGGCCTATAGTCATGATATTAGGCTGGTGGATTGCTTGGGTGGAGCCAATCAAAGTTTGGGAACAAAAATGACCCTGATCCACTTTCAAGGTCATGGGTCAAATATTTCTAAAAACTCAAACAACTTCTTCTGAGGAACCGAAAGTCTAGAGTTGTGATATAAGGATGGTAGATTCATTTGATGTAGTGGAACAAAATTTGCAAACAAAAATGACATTGGCATACTTTCAAGGTCACATAGGTCAAATATGTCTAAACTTAAAACAACTTCTTCTATAGAATCCATATGTTCGATAAAATCATATGGTATTTGAGAGGTTTTAAATGGTAATAACAAATTCCAGGTGAGCTATAAAGGTCTCTGTGCCTCTTGTTCTTCTACACGATCTGCATGTAGTTCAAAGTAAGGATGCTACAGCTTTGTCTTTGATGTCAAATGACCTCTCCCTTTTATCTCTCTTTTTGAAAACATCTTTGACATCCTTTCCATGAGTTATGAATCCTGCATGTAATTAAATATTATTGTGATCTTATTCATTAAGGTTCAACAGAGCAGCACTAATCAACATCGGTTTTCTAAATATGGATTCAGACTGTGATTATATAGTCATGCATGACATTGACCACTTAGAAGTTAATCCGAACTTCGACTTCGGATACCCTGGTAAAGGACCAGTCCATTTATCATACTCAAAATATAAGGGACATGTTGGCGGAGTGCTTGTAATGACAAACGAACACTTTAGGATGGTAAGATTAACTCTTCCTAACCAGCTTTGATTGATTATTTAAAGGTATGTTTTTTCGTAACAACTCATGTCATTTCCGGTCGGTGTCCAAGATGATGGGACTCAATGGGTACTATAAAGTACCATCCAAATTAATGCCAAAACATAAATCTAGTATCATGACGCCACTTATGATCTCGTTTTCCTGACAACGAGTTGAACCACAGGTGCCTGAAAAACTGATATGATGTGTATATACTATATTATAGTAAAGTAATATAACGGTAAGTCGACATCCGTGTCCGAAAACCTCGGACCCCCCCCCCCCCCCCCCCCTCCCCCTAATCTGCAGTGCAGCTACCCAAACCGCTTTCAGATCTGATTTTCAGACCCTTACATGTATGTACTAATAACAATCAATGGTTTGATTTCTGAACACCCTACCTCCAATATATCGTCGTTTGAATTCAAAAAATATACCATAACCCTTTCCCCACCAATTCAGTGATTTTCCTTTAGAATGTGCGGGTTTTCACAAAATTTCGACGAGGGGAGATCACCAATGATATCTCTCTGAATTACTCAACCCCTTCAGAGCAAACAATCGCAATCCCATTCACTCACTTAAGCAACCATATTCACTCCATACAACGAAATACTCGCAACTTTAGGGTGACTCCTCATCACGACGCCATGTTTTTAAAGAAGTAGATGGACAAGACCATCAGCTTTGATCGTCGGTCGTTATCAAAACAGGTGAGTTTATTATGTCTCCCCTTTGAATGAAGGGAGACATATTGTATTAGTTCATGTCCGGCCTGTAAATTTCAAACCGTTAAAGATATCTTAATCAAACTTGCAGTATACATGCATCACTCACAGAAGGTGTGCAGTGAACTGGAATTATGTCTCGTGCGTCACTATATACAGAGTTATGGCCCTTTGTTTAATTTTAATACCGAAGTGTGTCCACAGCATAACTTCCATGTTGTTAGGGCCCCATATCGAAGATGCGGGTGCCCTATACTAATTCGTCCGTCCGTCTGTCACAATCAAACAAGGTATCAACTGATGAAAAGTAAAGGTCACTGGGTCAAAGGTCAAGGTCAAATTTTGTATCTTTTCCCTGAAGAACATTTTGTTATGACACTTCGAAGCAATGTTGGTCAGAATTAAACAAGGAGTCATTTGACCAAAGGTCAAGGCCACTCGGTCAAAGGTCAACGTCAAATTTTGTATCTTTTCACTGATTAACAATTTGTTATGACACTTCGAAGCAATGTTGGTCAGAATTAAACAAGGAGTCATTTGACCAAAGGTCAAGGCCACTCGGTCAAAGGTCAACGTCAAATTTTGTATCTTTTCACTGATTAACATTTTGTTATGAAATTATGAAGCAAAGTTGGTTGGAATTTAACAAGGAGTCAACTGACTTAAGGTCGAGGTCACGGGGTCAATTTCAAGGTAAGATATTGTACCTTTTTACTGATGAACATCTTATGTATGTTATTATGAAACAAAGTTGTTCAGAACTTAACACGGAGTCAACTGACCAAAGGTCAAGGTTACGTATTCCAAAGGTTCAAGGTCAAGGTCAAGTTTTGTATTTTTCACTAATGAACATTTTGTTATGATATTATGAAGCAAAGTTTGTTGGAATTGAAGAATGAGTCAACTGACCAAAGATCAGGGTCACTGGGTTAAAGGTCAAGGTCATTTGGGTCCAAAGGTCAAAGACAAAGTGGATCTCTGACTTTGATCCTGGCTCTTGATAGGGGAGGTATTTAAGGTGAAATAAAATAAATCAAAACTAACAAATGAGTATTGAACCGGTATTTACATTTCTGTTAGCCCGGCAAATATGGAAGTGGAAGGAAACAAGACTCACATTATAGTACATGTAAAATGTATATTTTGCTCCCTTGCAATTTTTTTTGAAGTCCAAATGTCAAACTTCAAGCTCAGCTATATGGGCAGATTGCTTCTTGATGATTATTGGGGATATATTGCCACAAGACGAGGCCCTTACTGACCTGTCAGTGTTCTAGTTTCACCTACGTTGACCAAACTTGCTGAAGTTTTAATGTATCTTGGGAAGTAGGAGTGTCGAATTTTAAATTCGGGTCTCGGGCCCCACTATATAAAGCGATATGGCCCTTTGTTAATATACCGGAGTTTTTCTATTGGCTTATAAGGGGAGACATATGTTTTTGTTCACAAAAACAAAATTCTAGTTCAATCTGAATTCGAACTGCATATCGTAGGCGACACTTATTCAAAATGGGATTGCGGCTGTTTGGTTGGAATGTGAGAATAATACAGAAAAAATGTCATTGATTATTTTTACTGTTTGTCGTCGACATTATGTGTAAACCCGCAGTTTTTCAAACAAAATCGCTGGACATTTGGATTAACGAGGACAATTTTAGGGTAGATTTTTCGGCTTTAAATGACGATACATTGGAGGCAAGGTATACAGGCATCAAACCAATGGTTTGAATGAGTGCATCAGGGTCTTACGTTCAGATCTTGCAGCGGTTTGGGTAGCTGCGCTACCGATTTTCTTTTTCTTTTCGAGGTTTTCGGACACTGGTGTCGACAAACCTTTATATACCTTTATTATTGTATACACATCATATATAAGTGTGTCCATGAAGGACGCAAACAACCAAATCATTTACTCTGTGTTATTACTTAGCTTTTGAACTAATAGCTTTAATATTTGAAACTCAACACTTTCGACAATTGTGTAGATTCATAGATACATACCTGACAAAGGCTTCAAAAGGTATTTGTTGACACGTAAAATGACAAGAGCGTCACAAGGTTATGTTTTTGACAACCGGAAACCAGTGAAACGGGACGGGAACACCCCTAAACTTTTTACCGCATAATAAATCCGCAATTAGATATTTAAATTAAATAAAAACTATGCATTTTTCCAAAGATAAATACCTGTAGATTTTATTCAGTAAAGGATTTGTCAACACCACCGACAATAAAGCAGATACGACAGATACAATGTAGGTACCAATTGTTGCAATAAGGAAAACACATCAATTTGGTCTTGGCTGCTTCTCCCTTTTTTTATAAGAATTGAAGCAACTTGAGTTCGTTTTCTTGCATAGAGTACCTGTCATACTATATATTTTTCAATGTTCATTATTAAGTCTTATAATAGCCCTTTTTATCACATAATGTACGGTGTTATTCAGTGAATATACCTATGTCATATTTTTTGGGCTAATTAACCCATGTAATATAACCTATCAGCCCTGTGATTAGTTGTAAGTTTCAATTGTGACGTCACGCCTAGGACAAGTACATGACGTCACAGACTTACGCACTGGAGTCAAAATGGCGGATTTTTACATTTCAAAATTTCATGAAAATTGTCGTTTTACAC